ATATTTTCTAAAATTTACAATTTGTTTGGATGAGAAATGACTGAGTTATGAATATTTTAGTTTTACATGGACATAGAAGAAAAAGTTGATTTTGAAAAAATTGGCTCAGCTGAACTTTCTGTGATCTGAGGAAAAATGTAAATATTGCCACGATGATCAACGATGTCATAACCTATAGTCCATCTCTTTTTGTAATTCTCAAGCCAATATCGTGAAAAAAAATTCTTCCCAAATTTATTATTTATTATTCAAATTGAATTACCGGCGCCTTAAAAATAAGAAATTAGTGGATGATTTTGGTATTTAAACTCGACTTGTTTGTACTGAATAAATTTCATTAATTAAAAAGGCAGTTGTAAAACAAATTTTATTCAAAAACTTAGTAGTGCTCCTATAAAGATTTAAGTAATTCAACAAACTTTTTTATTAAAATCAAATTTAGAATAAAAATAATTCTTCGATTCCTGTCAGGACTATTGAGGTCTCACTGTGCATCTTGCAAAACTATCTAGTTTTTGTGTTTAAGAGATATAATAATTTTTGTTGACTTCCATCAAATCATTATAGCAGTGGGAAAAAAGTTAATCGTTTTTTGAAAAAGTTTATTTCGCCGCTGGGTGAAACAATTTTTTTGAAATCGATCGCAACAAACAAGGATATGCACTCGTATTTTGCAGGTTTTACCATCAAATTCCAGTCTTTTTTCGAGATCTATGTCATATTTAAAATTAGCGTCAAAAACTGAATTGAATGATGTGTTCCAGAATTCTTGGACAACTTTGATTTTTCAGCAAAAATTTCGGTCTAAGAACCCGAAAAAAAGATTTTCCAAAACCGATACCTAACTTTTTTCCCACAGTCATAATAGTTAGAATGAAGTCAACAAAAATTATTATATCTCTTAATCACAAAAACTAGATAGTTTTCCAAGATGCACATTGCAACCTCAATAGCCCCGCCAGGAATCTTACAATTTTTTTATCTTAAATTTGGTTTTAATAACGTTTACTGTTCTATATACAGTTTTGTATGAACATTCAAAAAATAATGTTTCTGAGATTTAGAAACAACGATAAACATGAAAATTTCAGTTTTTGACTTTAAATCCAAAAATGACGTTGAAAAATCTTAAATTAACTTTTTCCCAGGTAACTCGATGAGCTCTATCCAACCACGTAAAGAAGGAGAAAAAAATCATGCTCTTTTACCAAAAAATTTTCAAGTCAAGTCATTTCTAGTAAGACATTTTCGTTTAAATTAGGCATTTTTTACTATGAAACAGTTTCTTAAACTATAAAAAGTGTCTCTCACCCAAAAGGCGCTAGCAAATTTTATGTTCTGCTCATCTTTTAACCAGATTTGACTTGACTTGACTTGACGTGAAGGAGAATATTTCGACGGATGACTTGACTTGACGTGAAGGAGAATATTTCGACGGATGACTTGACTTGACTTGTGACTTACAAAACCTCTGATTTGTCCAGCTCTGTGATGGAAAGTTGATATTTCAACTACAACATTGTAAACAGTATTCTGTTTTATATTAATTTTTTAACTAACATCAGACAAAATGCCAACTGCTGTGTAAGGCTAAAACAAACAAAACATTCTGTCCTAAATTATAATTTAGATCATCTGACAGTTTTAAATCAATATTGTTTATCGAAGCAAGAATAACGAACAAATATAATCGTCTTAAATAAACAATTCTGAATTTTCTTTGGATACAGTGTAACGACTTGAATTTGTTATAAGATTTTAATTTTCCACCATAGATATGTGACAACCGAAATCTAGTTATTTCTTCATTTACGTAGTATTGCAAAAAAGGTAAAATAAAAACAGATTTAGTTCGTGAGCATCTTAAATGATTTTCACTTTCATTACACTAAACATTCTTATTGACTTATCGGGATCAGCTTGAAGAATTTGAATAAGCGTTCGAATAACGACTGATTTAATCCTAAATCTCAAAACACTTTTGGATAATTTCCTATTATTTTAGCAAAATTTAATAATTTCGCTAACTCGATTAATAGCTCTGGAAATTTCTCCATATAGGAAATTCTTCAAAATGGTTGTATCAAAATCTTTCGATTTGAAGTTTCGTTCTAGATATTCAAAATCATATTTCTAAAGATTCATTCATAAACTCAATATAGGTCTTAAACCACACCAGATTTATGATTAACATTAAAAACCACTGTAGAAAAATTAGATTTCATTCAAAGTAGGATGCATCAGTTGAATAGACTTCCTCGTAAGTGGAGGAATCTTCCTTCTCCTTCTGTATAGTTCAGTATGTTCATAATTATGAGTCATGCATAGGTTATAAGGGTTCATTAGGATAGGATGGTATATGTATTTAATTAGTTATATACTCAGACAACCCAGTTCTGCTTATCTTAGCTCAATAAGAAACGCAAGGATATTTTTTTTATCTGTTTATCATGCGTTTGGTCCTTGTTTGAGATTTCAATGTAACATAAGTACTAGAATGGGTTTCCTCAGTGAGTTGAAAGACCTTGTTAATGAGAACAAAGTCTATCGGGTGGTCCAGATAAAATTGGCCACGTTCATCGTTGTTTTTGAGGCACTTTCCAGTAGTCCAAAGAGTTTATTCTAAGCTCAATCGGTAGAGAATTGAATTCTCTACAAAACCTGCTATTTGAATCTCTGATAACATTTTTCTCGTTTGAGCACCATTCAAAATATTGAAGAGTGTTGAGTTGCCTAACTGCGACACACTGAAAATAGAAAAATATTTGCCTTGATCGAAAATTAGATCCATAAGAATTTCGAAAAAATCCGAAGATTCACGGGAAAATTCTGCATCTCACATATTTTTCGTCATCTAGGAAAATTTCTGTGCGAAAAAACTGACAAATCCAAAAGAACCTAACTTTTGAATCTATTTTTCACAAACTTTGGTTTTCTGACTATAAAAGCAGTAAAACGTTCTGAATCCAGGGTTTTAGCCTTATTATCTTACACAGAATTAAATTCGGCATCGTTTGATATATAAATAAAGTTTCTCAATTGAAACCATTAGTTAAAAAAATTAATTTAATTTGAAAAAATTGAAAAGCCGGTTGAGAGCTAATTATAAGTCCGGTTGGCGTAGCAGAAACATTGTATGAAGTTGTAAAGAAGTGAGATCGATAGAGCACAAAATTCTTTATCTACGCAGATAAGTTAACTATTGAATCTCAGACAATGGGCTAAAAATCTCAAAAAAAAGGAGATGACAAAAGCTTGTCGCAATTTGACAACTCAGCACCCTTATTTTCACCAATATTTTCAATGGTGCTCAAATGAGAAAGACGCTATCAGAGACTCAAATAGCAGGTTTTGTAGAGAATTCAATTCTCTATCGATTGAGCTTAGAACAAACTCTTAGGAATACTGGACAGTGCCTCAAAAACAACGAATGAAAGTATACGATTTTATCTGGGCCACACGATATTATTATATAACTTATGCTGTCTAATGAAAAGAACGTTAATTTAAGTAATATAGTTTAATGTTTTAAGAAAACGCTTAATAATGTTGAAGTATGCTTTGTTAAGATTAACGATCAGATCACAGAAATTCAACAACATTCAGCAAACGAGATTTTAGAGAATTCGTTTTTTAGGCTAGTAGCCACACATGTGCTTCAACAATAGCCTCATAGCACGAAATATTTTCAAATATGATATCTTCTGTAGATTCGGCTGATGGTTGCTTGGCGAATGTTGAAAATACTATATATAATTTTCAATATTTCAATAAAAGCTTTATTAATCAAAATCAAATCGATTTTTTTTTCTGTACCGTTTATGAATGTTGTTTTCTCTTCTCTCATTTTAGTAGTGCCCAGCAAAAACTCACGTTTGTCTTTCTGCTATTTGGAAAAAGAAATCATAAAACAACAGCCAACAACAGAAAACGATTACAATTTTTTTCGGCTATATGATAAAAACAAACAACAAACACAGAAAAAAATACACTCATGCTTTCTTCCCTCATAGAGTAAACACGATGTTATTATAGTAAGAAGAGAAAGAATACACACACATTCACTCACAATCGAACAACCAAAATAAAAAAGAGATGTGTTAACGCGGGAAAGAAAAATGAGAAAAACTAATCAGAGACGTAGAAAAAACACTAAAAACAAACAAATACACACACACAAGTGAGGAGAAAGATATATTAATAGGTAAGCCAGACATATAAAAAAAAAGATGTTAAATATCCAATATTTCAACAAAACACATTACCTAATTTAATCAATATGCTTAAAAACAGATCAGAATCGAAAACAAAAACAAACAAAAATTTTTGTTACATATTGTCATATAGATAGAGAGCAGAAACAAAAAAAAGAGTTGAATCAAAACAAACAAGCTTGAATGATTAGAAACAGAACATGAGGACGGGACATTTGATGAATAGAAGAGAAGACAGCGATCAGCATGAACCCATTTCTATAAATATTTTCGTGTTAATGATACATAAGAAGAAAACAAAAAAGTAACAAAAAAAAAAAAAAAACCTTCACCTAAATATACATGTACACCGAACCATTAGAACACGTTTTACAAATTTAAATAAGTCGACATAATCAATTAAAAATTTCTCTAAAAGCTAAAGAATAGTGATAATTTTCTACTGTTTGCAATAAAGCTCAGTTCAGAATAAAATCTTTTTTTTTTGCATTCCCATCATGTCGACTTAGTTATTTTATTTTCTGAAAACAACTTGATGTAGCAAAAGTAGCAAAAAATCAGCAAACAAATAACAAAATATACCCATGACGTGTGTAATGCTCATTTTAGTACTATAAGAGTGCGCTATTCTTCAGTATAAATTAAAGCAAAAAAACCACAACAGACAATTACAGGTGCGATAGACAGAAAAGTGAGAGAGAGAGAAAAATTATTTGTGTATTCATGTGCTGTTGTTGTTGTTCCTGTAATGATTATTGTTGTTGTGTTGTTCTGATTCGATATTATTTACTCATTATCCTCGTTATTATTTTGTCCGGTTTTTTCTTCTTCATTATCATCATAAATAATGTTATCTTCAGATGATTTTTGTTTTAACAGTTCATCAACATCATTGTTTTGTATAGTTGTTGCTGCTGGTGAGGGTGTTGAACGATTTGATAATTTATTTGCACCAGGTGACGTATTGCTTTTACGAAATGACGATAACGTATTATTCTTATTAGTATTATCGTTCTGATTATTAGTGTCCCTTTTATTACCTATTGTAGCATTACTACCGGATAATAACACCGGTTTTTTAGTCTCTTCAGCTTGTTTCGATTCATAATATTGAAAATCATCAAAGATACTTGTTTTATCACGAAAAAAATGCATGATTTTTAGCATTTGTTTACCTTTTTCATACAGTATTTCTTGTGTATCACGTGAATTTGTTACAGGTTTATTTTCATTATTTTCTAACCGAATGTTACGAAATTGTTGATTCGGTACATCTTTAACATAAATCCATTTAACTTCAAATTTACCTTGCCACTTATTTGACATATGCCAAACATCCGTTTTTGTATCATAGTCAACAGGTGACATCATTTCAGCCATACCACAAAAATGTCCTGATGCATTTACGCTAAAAAATAAATACAACGGACCTTTTCCTTCTCGTTCACGAAAAGCTGTATCTAAACGTTTATTGCCATGTTCCGTTGAACACCATATATTATATTTAATAGAGCGATGTACGTCATCTTCGGAATAAGATTTAATCACAAAAAATCTTGCACCTTTCGGTGATAAATTAAAGTCTTTTGGATTATATTGGTGATTACGTTTTAAATTATCTAATATTTCCTGATTGGCAGCTGTTATCGGTTGAACAGATGAGGATGGTCCACCATTACTTACATTCGATGAACGATTACCACCACCAGTAGAATATTGTCCTTGCTGTTGATAATTATTTGACGATGTGGATCCTAATGTGGTCGAATACGCACGTTTTGGATATTGATTATTCGCACTACTACCACCAGCTGTATTATTATTCGACGAACGTTCATAATAATTAGAATTTCCGTAGTAGTTGCTCGATTGACCGTTACCCGATGCACCTCGTATAGTATTGGTACTATTTGATGCTGGATTATTCGCCCAAGTTAGTGTATGTGGTCCTCCACCCTGTTGATTGTTACGAGAATTATAACCGCCTGAACTAGTACCTCCGCCTCTTTGTTGTGGACCGTAATTATTTTCTGTATTACTTGACATAACCGATGCCGAATAATTATTACGTCCTCCTGCAGCACCACTATTACGAATCGATTCGTTACCAAACGCATTGTTTGCCGTTAAATTATTACGGTCATGAACATTCGTTTGATTTGATGATGAATTCTGTTGTGATTGATTTGTAGTTGCTGTTGTTGATGACGATGTTTGTTGTTGACGTGTAGTATTACTGCTATTATTCGATAATATTTTATTAGTATCAGAAGAGACAACAGATGCATACGACTTCGGTCCGCCTGACGATTGCTGTGAAGCAGATGTAATTGTATTTCGATCACTACCAATGTTCGAAAGTTGGTGTTCTTTAGCAATCGTATTAGTATTAGTGTTCGTGTGATTCGTACTTGTTAAATTCGGTTCATTAACGTTTAATGTAAAACTATCTTGAAGTTGTTTTGAGTGTTGTTGTTGAAGAGAATGAGGGTGATGTTCACTTATATCGACCGATGTCATTTGTTGCGCTAACATATCGACATTTTGTCCTACACCACTAGTATTGCCTCGTAAACCCACACCAATTGAGTCTGGCAAATATTCATCATACACTGATTGTTTTTTTCCTACACTTCCGCTAGCTGTTCCTTGACCTGCATTCATTTGCGTTTGTTGTGTGTTCAGTGGTTGTTGCAGTTGTTGATTTTGTTGTTGAGCAAATGCGGTTGCTTGAGGGTTCCACGACATATCGAATGAAGTTTGAGGAAATGTTGACGGAAAACCAGGGTGTCCGTATTGTGGTGGATGTCCTGTTAGATAATGTGGTGCATAATCGAATGGACTACGAGGTATTTCATTCATTGATGGACTATACATGGGATGAAAGTATGGCATCTGTGGCTGTGTGTCACTTGGTTGCCATTGTGGTTGATCATCAAATCCAAATGGTGGATATAGTCCTGGTTGCTGATAATAGCCGTAAGAATCATTTAAACCTTGCATGGATATTACATCAAAATGTCCTAAATTATACAAACAAAAAATTACTTTCAACTAATTAGAGAATACATAAGAAAACAGCAAAGATTATTTTTGAAAAAAATATGAGAAAATTAGATATGCACAAAATAAACTATTCGATTCTTTAGCTCTTTGCTCTTCTTTGTTTTGCTCATCGTAGCTGAATACCAGTTTTATAAAACACTAAAGTGATTGAAAGAAAACTAAGAGTTTCTCGAAGAAATAACGTTTTTGTTATACAGAAGCGCATAAACGAGTGTACATCATCGAAAAAATGGAAAATTTTCACGGATGTTAGAGGTGAGTCTCTACATTGGACGAACAGTATAAAGCAGAACAGAAAAAAAGAAGTAAAAAAAAGATTCTTGTCATCTGTGCAGAGAGAGAAACCTACACACGAATGTTTGTCGTTCTGTTTCTCAATAATAAGAGTCGTGTAGCAAAAGAATTCATATGTGACTAAAGCCTTCATCAATAAAAACTTACGTCAAAGGTTGTGTAAGAGCATAAAACGGAACAATTTTCTTTATTTCCTTCGTTCTTTCGAGTTCAATATTTTTATGTAATATGTATATATTTGCGTTTGCACATACATATTTTTTTCTTTTAAATTCAAAGAAACAAACTTTTTTATTTTGAAGTCACGTGATTAAAGAAAATAAAAATAGCCAAGACCTACAATCCCATCAAAACCGTTACTCTGTGCTCGTGTGCTTGAAATTTTGCCGTACTGCATGGCCACGTAAAATTGTGAGCCACCAGTACACAATGTTAGTGAGAGATGTTTCTAAAATTTACCCACAAAACTGTTTTTCCCCATGCGCAAATGAGCTACAATATCATTAAGAAATGAAGGAAATCTGAATAAAATGGTTAATAGTTAAACTTGAAGACATTTGAGTGCTGAGGACTTGTGAATAGAAATGTTTTAATCAGCATTTACGAAATTAAAAAAAATTGGAAACCAAAGATAGACAAACAAATAAATTCTACTTGATTGCACTATAATCGACAAATATTTTCTTGTTTCTCAAAATAACAGCCTTTCTTAGGCCCTTTAACATAAAAAGAATGTTTTGCAAGCAAAATAGTGTCAAATTAATTAAATAGATCTCATTGCTACTAATTTTTAACAATTCAAATATACAGCTAGTGAATTTTTTCCAGTTGAAGTAATTCTACAATTTTAAATAAGCAACATTTATATTTCAACCATAATTAGCATCAAAGAAAAAAGCACAAATAATGAATTAGAAAAATCGATTTCACCTATAGGAAACAGTAGACAGAAAGCATCGAGTCTGCGAAATAAAATTAGATCAGAAGGCAAATCGCAGTGGTGCAGAATCTACCCGTAAGATTGGAAAATTTCTCCCGACGGAAAAAGTTTGTCAAAAAATTCCTCGACATAATTCACGAACAGAATTTCTTTTCATAAAATATTTCCCAAAAAAAATGCCCCGACGACCGTCGGAGCAAACAAGCAGATTCTGCAGCTCTGGCAAATCGCATAACAAATTTTAGTTTCAATATAAATAAATAAAATAAGTTAGAAGATGTTCTCTTCTAACTTAATCTAGTCATATTAATTCGAATCTGGCAATGTGTTTTATGTTAAAGAGTATCTTAAACACTCGAATATACCTTTGGATAAGAGAGGAAGAAAATCTAAACCAAAATTTCTATATCATAGGCGTTTACCCGATCGAGCTCCGATTTCTTTACTTGAGGAAACAGCAAAATCTTTCTTATATTTTTGGTTACCAGGATTTATTATTCCTGAGTAAAACTTTCTAAAAGTACGAAAAAACATCATCTCTTAAACTATCTAGACATTAGAACAAATCAAGTTTTTTGAGTAAAGGACAAGCTGCAGAAAGTGAATGGAAACACGTACAGTAAAAAAAGAAAAGATTTATCATGCTCAAGAGAAACGTAAAGCAGTGCTGTAATATTAAAAAGGATATGTTCTTTGCTTATTTGTTTAAATTCTTACCGTAACCGAACTGCATTCCGGCGCCGGTTGGAGTCTGTTGCTGTGAACGTTCTGGCATCATCTTATCATGACTGAAATAAATATGAACATTTGTAGAATAAAAATAGAATAAAATGCAAAACTAATGCAAAAGTAATACTTAAACATTCCAGTATCTTACAGATATTCTAGCAGATAACATAGAAATACATACCAATTTTTTTGCTTTATTCGGTCTAGAGTCGTAAATACGTGGTTTAATATAGAGGAGCCACACAAATAGAGGTTACAAAGAATTTAATTTGTACAAATATAAATCTAAAAAATTAAAAATAATTCTTAAACACAAGGTCAACAAGTGATACCGTTATATAACGAGGAACAGTTACGAAACAGTACAAAACTCAATAAAACTTGCTCATTTTCTAATTTTTATCATACATTAATATAATTTTAAATAAACAACTTTTTTTCATGTAAAATTAAGTTTTATTTCGTAGTATGCATAATTTACCGTGTATATGGTATATGTATAACAATCTGTGTGGGATAGATGTACCATGTATCGTGCACCAATCAGGAACCGACTATACAGCCACTAAATGATGGCATTTTTATATGTTCTGAGCGGTTTCTTGCTTAAAATCAATGAATTTACAATGAGTTATGATTGCCCAAAGGACATATATTTCAGCTCACGCGTTATGCAGTTCATTAAAGTTTTAGCAGTGGACTTACACAGGCTTTTATTGGATAGAAAATACACTAATGATGATCGTGGAAACAAACGAATTAAATCATCGCAAAAATTAAAATGATTTTTTTCTTATTAAGAAATCATAAAATGATTTTTTTTATTATATTCCTGCATAAAGTATGGTTGATTTGTAAATAAAATTTTTATTTTTTACGGTCATTTTCAAATAATTTCTTTTCTCTGTCAGATGTTTGTCTCGTCTGACGATTGGTTCGCTTTTTACATTATTTAGTCACGCGTAACTCAATCGTGCATACAGAGAGAGACGCAGAGAATTTTTTTGTACATTTTGGAGTACGAATGAATGAATTTATTATTCACGAAAAGGGAGGGTCATCAAAGGTTCCCGACCTATAAAACAATGACTCGAGCTAAACAACAAAAAAAATCTATAAATAGAAAAATACGACGTCACGTTCCCTTACAGTATCCATCTTCCTGCTTTCAGTCACCTTAGTTCAATTCAAACGTCAAATTTGGTGTGTGAAGACTTCATATCATGGCTCATAAAAACTGAAATAGTGATGTGAAGAATAGAAAATACTTTTTTTACCAGACAAAGTTGCGAAAAAAAGCTTCCATTTGAAAAACCTATGTTATTTCCTATACAAAATTTCAGTTTTGTTATGGATTTGTGTTTTGCAGCAAGTTTTCCAATGACATACACTACTTGTTGAAAGAAATCTGACTTTCTATTTTTGGTATTTATAGATAACATAAAATGGCAAAGGCCAGTACAACTGAAAGTCGTGTACAAGTAGCTGTTCGTGCACGTCCTCTTAATCAACGTGAGGTAAGAAAATTTTTAGTTATTAAGTAACAGAATGAAAAGGCAATATTTTAATGATATTTTGTTCAAAGATTGATTTAAAGTCACCCATAATCGTTTCAATTCATAATTCTCAAATTCTTTTAAATAAACCCAATGACAGGTATTTGTAAACAGAATTTTACATATGAATTCAACTAATTTTTATTTTTTCTTCAGACACAATACACCTAAAACATTTTCCTATGATTTTTGTTTCGATTCAATGTATGCTAATAGTTCGAATTATGCAAGTAAGTGATTATGAGACAGTGTGAGTTTGATAAACAATATTTTTATTTTTAATCTAGGTCAAGAGCATATATTTCAAACACTTGGTGAAGAAATTATTCAAAATGCATTTGAAGGATATAATGCATGTGTCTTTGCTTATGGACAAACAGGTACGACAGAGACATAAGAAAACTGTAGTGTTAAACTGTTTTTTAATCCTTTTTGTTTAGGTTCTGGGAAAAGTTTCACAATGATGGGTACACACAATGATCGTGGTCTTATTCCACGTCTCTGTCAGACAATGTTTGATCGTATATCGAAAGAAGAAATTTCAACTGATTTTAATGATGATACAAAACAATCGATTGATGATAGTGATGATAGTAGTGCGGCGTTTTCTATGAAATTCTCATCATCCTATCGTGTGGAGGTGTCTTATTTTGAAATTTACAATGAAAAAGTACGAGATTTATTAAATCCAAATAAGTAAGTTCTCAGTTTCTACTTCGCTTTAATTGTCTTCAATAATTTCTTTCTATCTTTTAGCAATCATCAAGCGTTGAAAGTACGAGAAAATAAAATTTTAGGACCTTATGTTGATGGATTATCACAATCAGCTGTGATTTCATATAGCGTAAGAATTATTTCTTTTTATTTTAGTTTGATAAACTTAACAAACGTTTGTATTTAGGAAATCGAAACTTTATTAATTGAAGGTAATAATTATCGAACTGTTGCATCAACAAACATGAATAATGAAAGTAGTCGTTCGCATGCCGTATTTACATTAAAATATACACAAACACTGATTAGTGACTCTGTATGTAACAAATCTTCTTAGTACGCGATATAATATTATTTGATTTTTTCTAGACAAAAGGTGTTAAAGTAAGTAAAGTTAGTTTGGTAGATCTGGCAGGCAGTGAGAGAGCATCCAAAAGTGGTGCACAAGCAGAATATATTCGATTTCGAGAAGGATGCAATATAAATAAGTAAGAAAAAGTAATATTTTTTGAGTGACCTGTAAATTGCTTTCTTTTCTCTCTTTCTAGATCATTGTCCACACTTGGCTTAGTTATATCAACTCTTGCACAGCAACAAACGACAACTGATAAATCAAAAAAACCTTTTGTTCCTTACCGAGATTCTGTGTTAACTTGGTTATTGAAAGTAAACAGTGTTAATCAACAGAGAATTGCGAACAAAATAAATAACCAAATGTTTTTTTGTTTTAGGACAGTTTAGGCGGTAATAGTCGTACGATTATGATCGCTACCATCTCATCAGCCAATGACAATTATGAAGAAACACTCTCAACGTTACGTTATGCTGAACAGGCAAAGAAGATTGTTAATCATGCCTCAATTAATGAAGATGAACCGGGATCCATAATTAGAGAATTAAGAAATGAAATCGATAAATTGAGAAAAGAATTGGCTGATGCAAAAGTAAGCAATCAGTAGATGCTAAATAATTTTTATATAGTGTCCATTACTCAAATTATGTGAAAATGTCTATTTCTAATTTTAAAATGTACAATTATTGTTTTAACATGAACTGTGATATCTTCTTCTAAAACATATTTAGGAAACAAAAAAATCTTCTGAAAAATTGAATGCAGAAATCAATGAAAACGAAAAACTTATGCGAACAATTACAAAAGATTGGTATGAACGTGTAGCTGAAACAGAAAAAATAAGTAAAGTAAGTTCAAGTAAAAGCATTGTTTTTCTTTCTTTAATTTATGATCGTATTTTTCTCTTTTAGGAACGTCATGAAATATTAGAAAAAGCTGGTATATCTGTATGCAGTTCTGGCATTGGCTTAGAAAAAGATAAACTTTATTTGGTTAATCTTAATCCAGATCCATCATTCAATGAACTATTAGTCTATTATTTAAAAGTAAGAACACAATTTTTTAGTATTATTCATAATTCAAAACTAATAAGTTTCTATTTTCTTTTTTCAGACAAGAACAAGTGTAGGCCGTCCAGATGCAACTGTTAAACAAGATATTGAACTAATAGGCGTTGGAATATCACCTGAACATTGTGTATTTGAAATTCGAAATCAAAATCAAGTTTATTTAACTTCTATCAATAAATCTAAGTTAGTTAAATAATCATAATATAATTCAAATAGATTTTTAAAATTTTTTTTTTCAGAACATATGTGAACGGTCAACTTATTGATAATGAACGTCATTTACATCATGGTGATCGAATTCTGTGTGGTTGTTCACATTTTTTTCGCTTAAACTTGCCTAGCGAACGAAGTATGTATTTATTCATTTGTTATAATTTTTTACTAGAATAATGAAGAAAAAATTATTTATTTATTTTTGAATTTGTTAGCTTTACTGAATAATAGTGCAACACCGGCGATGAACACAATTGATGGTTCATATTATTCATTTGTTGATGCACAACAAGAAGTGCTTTTAAATCAATTGGCTGCTGATCCGTTAACAAAAGAACTACGATCATTTTTGAAAGAAAGTGACATTGAACAAGACAAGAGTCGTAAGTCTTTTTTTTTCTAATGACTATCTTCAAAGAATACGTGTACTAAAAAATTGTACTTTTCGATATCAACATTCTAATATCAAAAATTTTCTGATGTATACTATGTTGTCTATTTTAAACTCTTAGGCACAGCTACTAGAAATATTTTATTGTACGTAATGTTGCACATAGTTTTGCCTGTTTTTTGTTTGAGTTTATAAAAGTTAAATAGTGGAATGATTATATGAATTTAGGGATGCTAATATTCTGCATTTTATTAAGGTATTCTATCGAAAAAGACATCAGATGTCTATGAACGAGAAATAGAATATTTAAAGCAACAATTGATGCGTTCAATATCAACTAATTTGCCAGATCGTAAATTATCTCATAAAAATCGTGCTATGGAAGAATCATTTTCTAAATGGAGATATTCAAATATTCTTGTTAATGAGTAAGTAGAACATGTATTTGGTTGCCTATTATAAAGAATTTGTTTGTTTATTTTTTTTTTATTATGTACTAGTTCGGAAGAAAGTCGTGCATTTTTTGCTAAACTAAAACAAGAACTTATACGTGTTAATGCCCTTGTTTCTGAAGCAAATACAATATGTAAGTTATTAGGATTTTAAGACTGAAAACAAAACTACAATTGTGTTTTTCTTATTATTACTACTGTTGTTGTTTTTTGCAGCATCAGAAATGCAACGTCAAACAATATTTGCCGTGATGTTACAAATACCAGTATCCTATTTAAAACCAAATGAACGAGTAGATTATCAAATTATTTTTCAACAAGATAAAAAGAATTGATTTGATAATTCTTTTACTTTTTGTTTAGGCTGCAACAAATTTGTGTGAACCTGCTGTACAAGTGAAACGACGAACATTTATACCACAAATTTGGAATGTAGAAAAATTTGAATGTAAATTAAGTGATATGCGTGAAGCCTACTACGAATGGAGAAGTGCGATGTCTGGAAATAAAGTATGTATTTTAATTGATAATATTCTTTAGTTCATTTTTTACGATAGATCAATGATATACATAATTTTCAGCTACCTTCATCAATATCGACCATGAAAGATGATCCATTTTTCGATGTACAAGATTGTCATAATCTAATCGGTGTAGCAAATATATTTTTGAAAGCATTATTCTATGATTCAAAACTTGATTATCTTGTACCAATTATCAACACGCAAGGACAAGTAATAAAAACATTCTCTCAGTTACATAATTAAAAGTGAATTATTATGCTCTTTTTATATAGATATCTGGTGCATTACATGTTATTTTACTTCAAATTGGTTCTTCACCGATAAAAAAATTAAATGATGTAAAATCAAATGGTATTCGTCAGAGTTTTAGCGATTCGATAAGTGATGATAGTGTGAATGGAAGTAGAAACGGTAGTCAGAACAGCATGGAGCAATCTGACGAAGACGAAGAAGAATCGGATGTAGCCGATCAACATGTACCATCTAATCGTATTACAGTTAAAGTATATTATTGCTTCACATTTTATCGTTCAAGAAGTAAACATTTTTATTTTTATTTGTCTAGTTTATTATAAAAGAAGTTCGTGATCTTCCACCAAGTGAAGCAGAAAGCGTAGTCTGTCGTTATTCATTTATGAATCAAAAGCAACAACAAAGTGCCTCATCAGTGAGAAGCAATAGATATGATGATGATAATAATGGCGTACAAGGTGATGCTCTTAAAAAGCCAAGAACATTTGTCTTTAATCACGAGAAGGTATATTTTTTTCTATGTCTATATTTGATTTTTTTACTTTATGCTTCTATTTTAGGAGTATACATTTACATTGACAGCTGACTTTATCTCAACATGCTTAGAAAGTGCTATATCAATTGAAGTTTGGTATCAATATAATTCTGTTCCATTACCATTTGGAAATAATGATCAAGATAGGCGTGATGCTGAAATACGAGCGTTAAGTAATCGCTGGAAAGAAGTTAAACGACACGTACAATATGCAATTGAAATACATGAATTAGACTCATCCGGACGATGGGAACCAGTTGAAGTTGATTCATCAAATTCAAATATAATTAGTGGTGGTATATACAGATTGAGACAGGTACACTTTCATTTACTTTTGTTTTTTAGAAGTTACAATTAATCTTATATGTTTGTAGGGTCAATCGAAAAGACTGGTTGCTCGTCTTCGTGTTATACCACAATCGGGTACAATGCCACTAGTATTACATGCTATTCGTTCAGTTGAAATTGGTTCTATAAATACGAGAAAAATAAATGCACCAAAACAATTAGATTCATATCAAGATGAAGAATTACAAAATTTGAGACATGAATGGCTGGATTTAATCGAAAAACGAAAATCTTATTTAGAATCAGAAATTAAATTATTGAGTCAGCAAACAAGTAGGCTCATCATTTTCCATCTATCACGTTTACATTCTTTATTTTTGTCTAGATAAAACGCCCAATGATATTGAACGTGAAACAACTTTACTAGAACAATTAGTACGTTTGGCTGAAGAAAGAAATTTTGCTGAATTTCCCCCTCCAGGCTCCGGAATACCAGGTAAGAGATAAATTGAAAAGAGATAGGATCATACTTAATTGCATAAGATATCTGTTTTTTTAGGAAGTCCGCCAATGTGGTCTCCTCCACCAACTATTGAAGAACATCGTCCATTAATCTTTCTTGATTTGGATCCAGTCAATATGAATACAGAAAATGATACAGCCGGCTTACGAGCAACACTTAACGAAGAGAAGAAAAATGATATGTTCAGACTTGCTCTGTTACATCACGATTCAGATGAGGTATAATTGAGTAATATTAACGAGCCATTATCATCACATCAACAGAGAGTTTAAGGAAGCAGAGAAAAAAGTTTGCAAAATCATATATTTATTGCTGAGTTGAAAGAAAGCTGTTTTACTATTTATGACCACTCAACATTATAGTAAATAACCAATGTTTTTTATAGAAAAAAGCTTATGACAATGAGTCATATTCGCATCCTGATGAGGATGTTGCTATATAGGCACTTTTTTCTTGCGCTCTGTCTATACAACACACGCAGTCATACGGCCAGCTTTCAAGCCGTTTGACGGCCAACACACAGCCAGAATGTGAATTTTTCTTTTTTTAAACTTTAACGCTCATCTCTCCAGTCCAACGGCCACTGAAATGGGTCTCCCCCATTACATCTGTGCTCAAAGGTACCGAGATAATGTGAGCATTAGATAGCTTGTTCAAGACTATCACGCGACCGCCGATGCCGGAATTCGAACTCCGAATGTTTGAAGTACGTTGTCTGCCCACCAGCCGACTGAGTCACGCTGCTCACGACTGCAGGATGTGAATATGACTCATTCTCTAAGATGTGCATTTTTAGATCATAGTCAAGATCAAAGATCAGCACGAGCCGGCCTTTTGATTGAACCGGACCTGACCGGATCAGAAAATTTTATAGAGTGATCGGGCCGGACCGGGCTTGGGCCATCAAGTATTTTGGTTGGGTCGAGCTGGATCGAACTCAAAATTTTTAAGCATGCATGGATTTGTAATTTATCTGTATATTCAGTACTGAGAAAGAGTATTATCATTGATCCGCGACGTCTTAATGGCTTCGTTTAGCTAATGCTTTTAAAGATTGAAAATTTGATGCAAGATAAAAATCACGCCTGGGACCAGAAAGTTTTAAAAAGCGGTCAGGTCGGGCTGGACCAGAAAAGTTCCAGGCTTGATCGAGCCGGGCCAGATAAATTCCATGTTTGATTCGAAAACTTCCATCATCGAGTCGGACTGGGCCAAAAATTTTCGACCCATGCGGATCTCTGGCCAGGACTACAGTATAACATAGTTCTATCGTTGCTAAACGAGAGATTACGAAAAACATTTTATCCTACTGATACCATGTACTTTTTTGCTGAACCCACAGTAGTCCATCGTCTCATAAACAAAAGTGATTCACGATTAACTGAAAATATCAGCATGAAGGGCAATACTGACCCTTTATATAAAAATGTTCAGCTCTTCAAGCTGAATAAAATGTATCTCTTGGGAAAATAATCTGAACCTAACCATTTACATTTTTTCCTCTTAATTGTCTAAATTATAGTGAATGAAAAGATCTAGAGATCTTTATAGCATTTTTCTTTTTAAAAATAATATGATCATCTTATTAAAATATCTTGTGCTTTTTTTAGAACAAAGCAGGTTTAGTGCATAGGGTAAATTATATATTTTAATTTTATTGACTGCTCTTCTGCTAGTTTTAATAAATGAATTAATTTTTTTTATCAACATTTTTATTAGTCGTCTACTATAAAATTATTTTGTTTATGCTCAGTTATTTTTTATTAGATATTTTTTTTGAAAGAATTTTATAATTAATAGAATTAATGTTCATTTCAGGTTCGAGGAGTAGCTCAATGGGATCCATCTATACATGAAGCATCTGAATTAAATCGTGTAACACCGAATAATACTTTAGTTTATATGATTGTTAAAATTATTGTATTAATTTCACAACCAGTAAGAATGGAACTGGTATTGAGGAAACGTATGTAGAAATATATATTAAGGATATATATTCAGAAAAATCATATAGATAGTATTTACATTTTAATCTTTCATTTAAGGAATCGCAACAACAATACAGAAAACAGATGGTTGGTGGTCAAGTAGTAAAGCCATGAAATATTTACTCGGCTATGTAAGTTTATATTTTATTACATATGATTAAATTTATGAACAAATTTCTAATTTGTGTTTATTTAGAGATCTTACAAACGCACAAGTGTCGTATATGAAATTGTTTCAAGTATACCAAAATTTATTCATGAGATAGAAGATCGTAAAAGTTTAGCATTAGTAGCTGGTTCTGAATGTCATTCTGGAACATATGTGGAAAAATATATTCAATATGCATCTGCAGTTGACAGTTTATTATTACTGGATAAACTCAGACAAGTATTAAGGCAAAGATAGTAGTTAACTTGACTATAGTTGAATTTTTTCATATAGGAAGTTTCACTTATGGAATGTTCAACAAAACAACAACAACAACAGCAAACTATTAGAAAAGCGACTAGTGTTCCTAACATTATGAATCAACAAAATACGGTAAATACATATATAGGCGTCTTGATGAAATACATTATAGAATGTAGATATGACTCTTTAAATCGTCTACCCTTACGTTGGAAGTATCAGTCCGATTTAGGTCAAACTTTCAAGGGTTATTTGTCTTACTTATCTTCTCTCATTTCATTTCTATGTGAAATAAATCGCCTCTGCAGTTGCAATCATGCATGAAATTAAAAACATTCTAATAAAAGTTAGGCTGTATCGTAAGATCAATATTTTTTGCATTTATGATGTAACTCGAAAGTATGACACAAATTTATAATCAAATGCGTTGCGATTTTTCAATTTTGAATAATGATTTTTTTCACAGAACAAATTTAATATCTGATGGATACTATGAATGTGAAAAGAAGGAAACGGTTAAACACTTTCTGCTGCAATGCTCTCCACATGATTCTCCCCGTACTGCTGTGCTTAACAAAAGAACTCATTTTGTGGCTTATGCGGGACTCTCTTTGAAAACATTCTTGCTCTATGATTCGTTTGAAAAAGATCATTATTCAATGATATATATAGAATTTATTAAATTCATATAATGCACTAAGCGTTTTGATGAATAAACTAATTTATTTTGCCACTGTGACTTCATGCAATGACTTTTTCTTCTCTTTCTCACCCTTTGTTTCGTTCGTTTTTATTTTATATATAACTGTGGGATATGTGACTGCATGAGTGTCGTGTGTTGACCCGGGTGCCTGTGAAAGTGCCTCTTTCCTCTTTTGTGGCACAGGCTATTTCCACTTTTGTTTATTTCGGTTAGCGCCGGTATGATAGTTTAACACGACCACTTCAATGTTTTCTATAGTTCATGTATCATGATATAGATTAAACAAAAATATTGATCTTATAAAAGTATTCACACCGGATTTATGATACTTTTCTTCAAAAAGTTTTTGAAAACAGTCAAAACTTTAGAATTACTTGAAAATCTTTTCCACAAAAGCGTAAAGGACTCCGTTGTTTTTAGTTCGTCTCACTCACACTGAGATAAAAAATATATGATTCGATGCGTAATGAAAAACTTTACTGACTATTGTTTTCCAGTTTGTTAGAAACCACTTCCTTGTAAAAGTACAAACTTTCAAAGTTGAACAGTTTTACCGGAAAACGGGTGTTACTAGTCAAAAGAACTTTTTTATTTTTTTCCAGTTTTTCATGCTTAAAAACTCTCCAAGATTGTGAGATATAGATTTCATGCAAAATACATTCAAAATTTTCTCCCCAAATTCTTTGAAAAAATGTTTTTCTTTCTTTTGGTTCCTACTTTTCTAACCTTTCATACAATAAAAATCAATTTTTTCACTCATTTTCCGCTTATAATCCAAGCTAATATATCATATTTATAATCTATAAATAAAACTGCACAAACTTTAAAAGTGTTCAATACCTTACATCTGATATCTGTGATAAACAACTAAGTTACGACACCTTTTTAGCAACTAAATTATATATTTGAGTATAAATATACTAAGTAATAAAAGAAATATGAGTCCTGTTTTGTAGAGCTTTTTCTTCGCTACAAAATTCACTATTCAGATCTTTTTTAAATTTAACTTGAAAACTTATGAAGTTACTTTTATTGTTACGGTGTGTTTCGTAATGTTTGACCACTAAAAAAATGATAGAACAATTTGAAAAATGCCGAATATAAACAGACATTAGTTTTATCGAGTTCAGAACGAGCAGTATGCTGTAATCTCGAAATCTTGGTGAGCTTGACTTGCTACAAGCATCATCATTTACTCTTTGTACTTTATTATATGATTACGGGGAACAAATTTTTAGAGTTGATAATTCAGAGTAAATAAGACTCGAAAACAAAAGAAATAACTTAATTTTATCTCAAATTCAGTTTTTATCACAAGGTACTCGCAGAACATCAGCACATAATAGTTTCTTAATATCATTGTCGATGTCATATCAACATTATCTCGGACTTTTTGTAGATGGTTTGTTGTATCCGTAGAGGATGTTTTTTCTCAAACGTTTCGGTTCGACATTTTATTACCAACAAATGGTATTCCAGCATCTTTTTAGAAACGTTTAGAAAACATGGGTATAAACATTGTGAATTGTAAGAGTGGACATTCTGAACTATTCAACCAAGCAGTTAGGTTGAATCGACTTTTCCTAGAAAAATCTATATTTCTGATGGCGAGTGTATGAATGTGTTTGTGTAAAAACTTAAAAAAGATATTCATTTTAATAGTTGTATATGTGGAATATCGTTTCTTATTTTTTTTTCAAAAAATTTCGAACAACTCCTGCTAGCTTATAATTGAAATTTATCTGACGTTAACTTTTCTAGGGCAATCGATTTACCATTTCAAGTCCAACATATCAGTCCGGATTGAACAATGTGAATTCTAATATCAAAGATGAACACGATGTTTCAAAAAATTCTTCACAATCATTTCATAAAGTTACTGACAATAATCATCAATCACCTATGAAAAAAACACCTTCCATTACTAACGATCGACAAAATCCATTTTATAATGATAAATTAAGTAATTCGTCCTTTTTATATCCTCATTCGGATTCGCCTACATTATCACCATCTACCACAACAAATCTACATAGTCCACAAGTCAAGACGTTAAATACACCATTTTCACAGTTTAGTCGTTCGGAACTAAACGTATCACAATTCAGTACACCTAACCGACTAAATAATAATGAAGAAGAAAGAACTAGAACAGAAAAACTTCATACAAAATTGAAGGACGATATGTATGATGATAAATTTGATCAAAAATCTACACCATTATCACACCTTCATTTTGAACCATGTACACCTAGTATGTTAACACGCTCGTTGTATATTGAAAAAGAATGTCCACAACCCGTACAAGTATCAACTCTTTGTTTGAGACCAGAGGATCTATTCACAACACCAAACGAAGAAAATGAACAAGAATTATTGTCCACAAGTACATTGGAAGAAAAATATACATTCCCTCCGAAATCACAGAACACTGCACAATTAACACCAACATTAACAGTAGGAAACTTAAATGAAAATAATAGTTCTTTAAATGCAACCGATAATCGTAGATCAGATCATTTAATTAAGAAAAATTTGAATAATACCATTGAAAATGAGCCAACAACTCCAAATCGATTATCATCAACCAGTAAGCATTTTTACTTTTATTTAAAGATCATGCTTACTTGTAGCATTAATCTTGTTCAATGTTATTTTAACTCCATCTCTAAAAATTAATCTAATTCCTTGTTGAATCTTCTACTTTATTTAGAACTAGTAATGCCATCAGTTATATTCTCAACAAACGTCCAATCGTATCCTTCAAATTCTAACTCACAAAGTGAAAATAATTCAATCGAATCTAATGAGCAACAATTATCACAACAAAAAGAAAATGTTTTAGAACATGCAATGCCGTTATTATCCTCAAAGGAAATTTCTCGCCCATTGTTAACTGGAAAGCCAATATCTGGATTAAATATGAAAAAAGATATGAATGATTTATTGCAATCGGCCATAATATCACCTAACGAACCGGTAGAATTATCCAATGGACTCAAAGTTATCGTTGGTCTCAAAGTTATTATCACAACACCAAAACATATTTTTAAAAAACGTGGAACAGTGAGATTTATTGGTACGACAAAATTTCAAACTGGTTTATGGTTTGGTATTGAATTAGAAGAACCAGTTGGTAAGTGATGATCGATTTTCAATTCAATCGATTCAATTTTTCTCTCTGTTAGAAGAAGTAAAAATTAAATAACATTTTATAATAGAATCTTCAATTTTTCTAGGTTTAAATGATGGATCTGTTCATGGTATTCGATATTTTAGTTGTGCTGAAAAACGAGGCGTTTTTGTTCGTGAAGATAAAATAGAACCACTTGATCAGTCTTGAGTCTTGAAATTATTTTTTTCAGTGTTTTGATTAATTTGATTTCTTAAACACGAATTCTATATATAAATTATTTTTAAGAAAGAAAATGTAATTACTTTCTTTATCTATTTTTCATAATTACAAATCTAGTCGTTATTTCACCGCGTTTTTGTCTCTCTGTTTGTTCATATTTGTACAGTAAAATGTGCATAATTTTAATGTAAATTTGAAAAATATAAATCAATTATTTTTTATTAGTTTTTTTTTCTTCTTTTTTGCACTTTCTATTGTGTCAGATTAATTATAATTTCTATCGTATATATGTTCCGTGAATTTGTAGAAAAAAGTTCTTCTCCTATCCTGTTAAATTATGGTGATAAGTGACTTCCATTTATTCATTTTTCTTTCTTTGCTATAATGTAAATTTTCGAGGTTTTTTAGTGTATTTTTTTGTTGTTAAATGATTAATTGTTTTTCTATTTGTATATGAAATTGAGTTCATATACACTCACAATTACAATTGATTTCTGTTTGTTTTTGCTATACTAATTTATATAGAAAAATTATCTTTTACTTAATGTATCTTGTTACTTGGTACTTTTAGGAATATATTCTTCCATGTTCGGAACTCTAATTTGGCTAAACGTGCACGGATATGTGCAGAAATGAGAAAAAAAACTTCATTGTTAAAGATGGAATTATATTTCTTATAATACTTGATTTATTATGGAAATCCATCTAATTGAAGAAAAGTCTTCTATCAATAAGGAGTTTGATATCAGCGAACATGCCGTTGTTACAGTACAAAAATAATATATTAACAAAAATCATTCATTTATTCAGTCAGATCGTTGTCTGAGTTTACTTGTTGCTCATCTCTTTCGATATGTTTTCATAAACATCTTGTTTAACTGAAGCTAAACTTGTGTATTGAAATGCAGGAGATGGTGCCTAAGTCGGAGAATTTGCCTAACAAGGAAACCTGTCCAAGTGATACCTTCCGATTTCGTACGTTCATACGATTTTCCCCCGCAAATTTCTAATTATAATGCGACATCTCCGAGCTCTATACATGACCTTTCTTTGCAAAGTTACAGAATTTACAAGAAAAGCCCTAAATGTTCATTGTCAGCTCAAGGCTGAAAAGGAATTTAGGGCTTTTGTTGTAAATTCTATAACTTTGCAAAGAAAGGTCATGTATAGAGCTCGGAGATGTCGCATTATAATTAGAAATTTGCGGGCTACAATTATGCCTCATTAAGAAAGGTTTTAGTTACTTTTTAGAGTTTCTGAAAAACTGGTTTTCCAGAAAACCGAGTCTTCAAGAGCCATGGGGAAAAATTCTTTTAGACTTTTTACTAGCTCGATACTCTTTATCTGGTATTCTAGAAAATCAGATCTTCGAAGGGCTAAGGGCAACCCCCATGATCATATTTGTAATCAGCATGGTCGATAACCTATAACCCATTAGATTCTAAAAGTAAAAAGCGTTTAATCACCTCGAAAGGTTCGCTCGTTAGTTAACCTCGAACAGTTTGGAATTGTCCTCCAACATACATAAGTATAATTAACGTGATAACCACTAATCGAAAACAAATGATTTCTTTGGTTAATTACAGAGTCCGTGAGAGTTTGAACATATAAAAGTTTGATACATTTTATCTATCTGCATCTTTCTGAATTTCATCTCTGAACTTTTGCCGTTCTAGTTTTTCGCGTTTTCTTACACAGATTGATCAGAAAATACAGAAAACTGTAATAAAAGCAATTGGAATTTATCATAAAAATCCACTAATTTGATGTTCTTATCACAAGTTTCAGAATACATATCATGGGTGAAAAACTGAAACACGTGAAAAGGAAAGCAAAGTTTTTGGTACTGATTAGCTCTGCATTTTGGATTGACACACGATTTTGCTGAGCTCAGCGATTTTTTTTAGGTCGAATTTTATTATCATACAATATTTTATGTAATTTAATGATACGTGTCCTTCATTCCGGAAAATTTGTACTTGACACGCTAAATTAAGAACGAATTAAAAAGAAATAGTATAAGCGTGTTCATTTGAATTTGTTTACACTATAATTATGATCCTAATTATCTTACAATTGACGGATTATATCTCAGACGAAGCTATTGTAGATCGAGACGAATGATATCTGTTGGGTTTATTGAAAACTGATAAATATGAGAAGGTTGAAAAGTAAAACTTTCAAAAACTGCTTTGTAAAATTTTTATAACAAGTTCTCTCATTTAATAATAAAATTAAAATTTGAAAATCGAACTCTGTCAATCTTCAGTCATTAACAATAATTTAAAACACACGAGTTGTTTAGCATGCAAAATGACGATGAGATTTGAGACATATGGTCTGCCATCCATACACAAGAAAAACATTTCTGAGAAAAAGTGCATATGCTCGCATCTTCACCTAGTATACGTGCACCTATATGGACTTTTTCTTTACTCGAAAAACTGAATTTTGGTTCCTTTTTTCCGCCCGAAAAGCAGAAAAATAGAGGTTCACACTGGAATGAAATTTATCAGCGTGTTAAATAATGTGCCTCTTAAATGAATTTCTTCTGTAAAATGACTGTAGTAGGAATAAACCCATATTATAATCTTACATGGAAACATCATTTAACTAAAACTGCGTCAAAATGCTCAGCGCAATTTTCAGAGCTTTTCGAAACGCACCCGTTTGGTTACGCTTACATCTACTTAGATTGAGTAATGGAACTGAGACCGGTACTTCATACGTTGGATTAAAAATTAGAAATGTTTTCTCTTAGGTCGTAAGATCTTTCGGTTTTTAATCTCTAGGAACTTGAATACTGACAATTAAACTAAATATTAGCAAATATTTTATTTCAAGTCTCAAATTTATACATGTCTTATAGACGTTCTACTCTCTTCTCAAGTATCATCTTTACGTTTTCTGTTTTCTCTGTATAATTTATATAATGTTCAAAACTATGCTTCTTGTCGTTGGTTTTTTTTATACCAGTTTCACCCTACTTGTAAAAAAAGAACAATAAATGAGAATTGATCACACAGTCACAGAGTAGAATGACTATATACACACAAAATAGAGTCATACTGCAGAAACATAAGGAAGTAGATAAAGAGTAAAAAAAAATTGTTAGTTTTTTCGTTTATAAATTACAGAAGTAAAGAAGAAGTATTGTAATCTTAATTAAAAACACGTTCGGTTGATTCGTTTTACTTAGTTTTGATAACGTCAAAAGAACTATTATCATCCTTTATAAAACAAAAACGAAACTCGATCCCCAGCTGATACAACGCTTTTTTTTAAGAGGAATGGTCTGTTAATGGAAAAAAATGTACTCGATAAGACCAAAAATAGTTTCATAATGGCACTTTTGTAAAAGATGGAAATATAATTTTAATACCTGAGTAGTAAAGATATTCAGTACTACATATATTACTTCCCCTTGAAATGGCAACAGCAGATAGTATAGCACTTTCTTTTTCAATAATGTAAGCAAGATATTATCTGAATACAGTTCTACAGTTTTGAAATAAATTATTCTATTTTCTTCGCTCATGCGGTGCATGTACACTCTGAAAAAGGATATTTTAGTAAATCTTTTAGAGATTTAGGAGAGTGTCACTGTGTAGGAACCCTTTAGGGTTCAGTAAACGAAGATGTATCACGTTAACAAACCTTTTTTCTATAGTGAAGTTTTTATTTAAATAAACCTGTCATCAAGGGTTTATCAGATGGTTTCGTAGGTCTAGTAAACCTTTTTTCCAATAAATCCAAAAAAGGTTCCACTTGGCGACATTTTCCTAAATCCCGATAAAGATTTATTAGATCTAATAATTATCTGTTAAGGTCATAGTCATATAGTGAACGCGAACGACGATGGTGAAGTAAAGAGGTGTGATATACGTTCTATCGAAAACCGAAGTATGGAGTATGTCCGCTATTTTTGAGAAAAACGTTTCTGTTCTTTAGAAGTGCATGCTGCTCTGATCGAAAGACATCAAATAACCTAGTCATTCTAGTTATAATTCTTTTGTTCTCCAATGTTCGTGCTTTCTTGTGCCTTATAGTATTCCTTATGACTCAGAATAAAGTTGTACAGCCAAACCTTATGCTAATCTATTCACAACATTTAGCAATATACTTCTAAACAGAGGACAACTGCTTGTAAAGACAGATTTTTCAGGTGAATAGCGACCGTTCAGATATAAAATTGCACTACTCATTTCCGACATGTAACGGTACACTATACGAAGGGATTAGGTATGCATCGGTGTCGATTAACCGACACCAAAAAAATCCCAAACATTTTTATTTAAGGTTTTAATGACATAAAGAATTAGCACATAACATCTATTTGCTATTGTCAAAGAAATATCTGATTTTATCTGTATCGGTTTCGGTCAACCACCCATCCAAAAACCCAAACTGCTAAATTCAGGAAAAAGCACACAAATCTACATCTTGACTTAACGAACGAATTTAATATTTGGTATTTGCCCCTTAGTGGATGGAGTATGCCATATGTTACTTCTTCTGATCATCAGTGTTATGTCCTGCGATTTCTCGAGTTACATATAGGCATGTGTCGGTTATAAACAACCAACGGTTAACCGATTGGTTTATTCAGTTACTGCAGTGGTCTAGAAACAAAAGAATGATAAATTGCTAGACTTAGTCACTATTGTTATGTTTTGATGTTATTTCATGGTTTCTAATCTTTTCTAATTAGGTTATTTGTCGATCAAAAGGGGTATCAATTTTTTTGATCACCAAATTCTTTAGATACAAATTATCATTAAATAAAGATACTTTTGATCACAAAATTTTTCAACATGCATCTCACATTTTTATTTCTCAACAAAGTATAATGTACAACACAAACATATTCATTGAAATTTTATGAACAGTAAAGCTATGCTGACTTTCTTGGGACGCCCTTTTGCTTTTCGTTTGCCTAATGGTTGAATACGTATTTTATCGCTAACTTGATACAAGTTAAATAAAATTGCTAATCCAACAGAATGTTTACACAAATATACTAATAATGGTACAACAAGCCAACAGGACTGTTGCCACACCAGAAACTATTGAATGTATCATTGGCTAAGTATTTATCATATAGGGGGTATATGTAGGGTTTTTACTAGGACACTATATAGTACCTATAGGCAAAAGATCATTGAAGTTAGCGCTATACATCTGGGGAGGTTCCCTCGTAAGTCTGAATTAACTGCTAATGGCGATCTAGATTAATATACTTTGGTGTGAGAGAGGACAAGAGGGCTATGAATGCCATTAACTTTTTCTTGCAACCATCTTCAAAGCCAAATACTATCTATCATCTATGAAAATTTATTGAATGCAACAATGTTCAGTTTTTTCGGTGTCGGTTTTTTGGTTTGAAAACTGAAACCGGTGCATACCTAGAAGGGATGAAGTAAGCTAAAATACGAGCAGACCAGCTTTTGTGAAAGAATAAACTTATTTAAAAAACAAACTAGGTAACTCCTGATGTTTAAAACGAATTTAAGTATTTTCAGTAAGTTATCGATGTGTTATTGATGTCTACCTTAAAGATTCTAAGAAAAGAAAAGAAACTTGCTATTATCAATTCACTTATGAAAATATAGTAATACGACTGACGAATAATTAAATTGAGAAGTAAGCGTGAGAAGTGAAACTCCGGAGAGTTCAACACGATACAACATCAAGGTAGGTTTATCGGAACAGAAAAGAAAAGAAAGAGAAAAAACAAGAACAGAAAAACAAACAGAGAAGAACGGCGGCAGTATTTACCAGTAAACTTTGTTTCAATGGTGATTGTTGTTATTCTAGAGTCCCTATTTTCATTATGCCTCTTTCGAGGTGCGTAAATTGCAAATCTTTCTGATGTCTTCTTATCCAGTTATGTGAACCAAGAACAAAACTTTTAGAATGCTTAAGGAGAAAGAATGGTTCGTTTCGCATCAGGGCTGAGCGTGCGAATGTATCTGCTTATCAGTCGCATTACATGAAAGGAACGCGGCTGAAATTTGTGTTGTATAATATGTAAACAAAGCCAGCATATCAAATGGACTATAGTATTTTCAGAAAAAAAATTATAATAGAAAGATGCATAACAGTTTTTCGTTAGAGGCATACTGACGAGGAAACCTTTCGAGGTGATTAAACGCTTTTGCTCGGAATCTAGTGAGCTATAGGTTATCGACCATGCTGATTACGAATATGACCATGGGGGTTGCTCTTAGCCCTTCGAAGACCTGGTTTTCTAGAAAACCAGTTTTTCAGAAACTCTAAAATATAACCCGAACCTTTCTTAACGAGGCATGATTGTAGCCCGCAAATTTCTGATTAAAATGAGATATCTCTCAGCTTTACACGACCTTTCTTTGCAAAGTTATAGAATTTACAAGAAAAGCCCTAAATGTTCATTGTCAGCTCAAAGCTACAGAAATAAGAAGAAATTAATTTAGGGCTTTTGTTGTAAATTCTATAACTTTGCCAAGAAAGGTCGTGTAAAGCTGAGAGATATCTCATTTTAATCAGAAATTTGCGGGCTACAATCATGCCTCATTAAGAAAGGTTCGGGTTATATTTTAGAGTGGTATTCTAGAAAACCAGGTCTTCGAAGGGCTAAGAGCAACCCCCATGGTCATATTCTTAATCAGCATGGTCGATAACCTATAGCTCACTAGATTCCGAGCAAAAGCGTTTAATCACCTCGAAAGGTTCGTTCGTGAGTTTTATTGTTCAAAAGTGTCTCAGAGTACAAATCAGCGTAGTTATCAAAATAATTTACTTGTACAAAACATCGTAATTCGCAGATAGGATTAGCTTTATATTTAAAATATTCAAAATTCATTTACCTTTTGATGACAAAATAGAAATTAATTATTCGAAAGGATTGAGAAGGCTTTTTTTACTATACCGTTACGATTTTTCTAAACTGCTTGAAAACTTGAATGGATTATTTCACAAAACTGAGAGCGTATTCAAAACAACCCTTAATCATGAATACGAAGGGGTTTCATTCGGTAGAAAGCCCTTCGTATTCATGAGAGTAAATCAAAATAGATTTTTATTATACCTTTAAGATTTTTTACTAAACCCAAAAGATTTTTTCAATTTTGTTGAAAAACCTCCAAATATTATTTTAATTACCCATATTAGTTTATTAAAATACTGTACGGGTTCAGTAATCACTTCGATAATGAACAGAATAATCAACTTTTGGAGTTTAGTAAACAATGGAATAAACTCCTTCTGTTTTTAAAATATCTTCTTTACATTAAAGAGCGCTCTGTCTAATCAACTGGACGATTTAGTAACTTTCGTAAACTCTTCTGGGGTAAAGGAAGATGGCTAATTTCTGGATGGCACTTTCTGGGTTTATTACAAGAGCTCATGAAGCATTAGGATTTCTGAAAGCGCCTTATTTTTGAGAGTGTAGAAGAACATTCATTTTGAGTGATTATAAATACAAAAATGATCTCCCTTGGCTAGTGTACTAGATGATAATTTGGTGTTTCAATCGATTTGGTTTTTTTTTGAAATATAAAAATCATCTGAATGTCTCAACCACGGTAAAGATTCTGATTCTTAAATGAACTATGATTTGTATGCAAATTTCGGGCACTTAAGCTATAGCTATCTTCACTATTTGTATGCTGCCGTATTTCTTCACAGTGTTCAGTTGTTAATCCTAAGCAAAAACGATTTTTTTGATTTGTTTATCTATATCAAGGTACACGCTTATCTAGATGTATGTTAAGGTTAGAGATCTGCAACCCGACTCGATCCTGAGGATGGGTCGTATTCGGGTCCAACTTTTCACAGTACAGAGCAAAATGTAAATAAAAGTTTAAATTTTATATTATTCTTTAGCATAAAATTAAGCGTTGGAAAGTAAGAAAGTTTAGATTAATTTTTGCTTGGATTACATTTTCTCAATCCGTGCAAGTCTCAATTTGAGACTAATTTAGATAAATAAATCAAAATAAGATGGGTCGTTTTTGCTGGGACTATTACAACCACCCGGTCAGTTTTATGACTATGACAATATGTGTTATTAAATTTACAACAGTAAACTAATTCTAAATGCGAAATTTATACCGTTTCATTACTGTGAATGCGGCTGATGGCACATTATAGTTCTTTCTTACCTATTAACTAACAAAATCAAAAAATTTAGATAACTCTATTACTTCTAGTGGAGATGGCAACTCATAACTGTTATTTGATATAACGAACGGGTTATATAATAATGATAGTTAAAATTTTCTCCTGTTGGAAAGTTCGAAACAATGGCTGTTCTACGTACTAACAATGCATCCTTCTGGGGCTTCAGTTTAGATTAAAGTTACAAAAGGCAATTCTCCAGTTGATAATTATCTACTCTAGATGATTTTCATAGGCGTGATTTTAGAATCTAGAACTATTTAGTATGATAAAATATGAATAAAATTATTCACAGTGAAAATAATTATTTTCGAACAATCAACTTTTTCTTTATACATTCATCATACAAATGATTCTTTATCATGTGAGCAACGTTTTAGCGCATCTAAAACATCTTGTGTGCTCGGAAAATAATGCAATCTTCGTCCATATGTATCACCATATTTCATTTGTAATGTATCTGTCGTTATTGATCTTTTCATGTCTGAATAAATATGAGTATTATTATTTGTTGTACTGTTTTTAGTATTATTTTCAAAGTCAGTCGATGATAATAGTCCTGCTCCTTGATTATTTAGATCAGATGATGAATTTCGTAATAAATTTTCCGAATGTGCGTAGGAATATGGACGTTTTGTTGTTGTGATGGTGGTTGTTATTGGTTGACGATTGACTTCGTTATAATTTAGATGATGTGATGGTTTACGTAAATATGGCACTGGTTTTATGAGATGAGTTTTACTATTGGCTGATGTTGTTGTCGTTGTAGCGGTAGTTGTGTTGGATGCATTTGGAATATCGCTGTCAATAGGTTCAAAATGATAGTTGTTATTTGACGACATTTGACGAGTACTTTCGTAATGATAATGACGTGGTCTCAATAATGTTCCGCGTTCATGAACATCTAATTCATCTTCGTGACTTGACGTATTAGTGGCTAAAAACGGTCACGAAAAAAGAAAATTTGGAAACGCGCTTTAGATAACAGCAAACATAAAACTGCAAATTATTTGAAAGACTTGTCATACTCGAGGGTAAAGGATAGCGTTTAAAACAAACAACACTTTCTTGATCATTTTCTTCAGTTTCATGTTTTAGAATTGTTTCCCAAGAGAAATATGTAATAAAATGAACTATCTATATCCATCGCCACACATATTATTCCTTTTTTTTTGAATGAATATAAACGAAGACCATAATGCCGAGTCATTTTTCTATACTGTATTCAGAGGTTCATTACAAATGAGGCATCTATAATTTGTATGTTTCGCTTTCAAAAGCCTATTATTACATTTTGAAAAGAGAGAAAGAGGAAAAGAGAACTGAAAGTGGTTTCTTTCTTTGTCTATATACCTGCATCCGTCATTATTATTTCTCGTGAATTTATATTCGACGACAATTGACAACGAGAACATGTTAAACGTGAAATACTTGAAGATAAAACAATAATATTTGAACAACTACGATTAATTGAATTTAAACCAACTGAAATTAATGCTGCTTGTTTATGCGATAAATAATCAGATTGACCACTTAACTAGAAATAAACCAGATGAGAACATTACTATGCTTGATATTGCGTATCAGTGAACTGTTAAAATAAACCAGAAGTTACTGTTTCTTTATATGTATACAGTAATGGCATGTAGCAAAAAAATAGAAAAGAATCCCATCATATTCTTTGTTTATTTAACTCGATAAACTTGCATGATCTTCTTCAAGTGAAGATAACGACGTATATAGTAGAAGTAGTTTAAGAGAAGGAGAAAGAGAGGAATAATAAATATGATAGATTGCATATTGATTATGTCATTTTTTTTTCGTAGTAAAAGAACAGTTTTTTTTTTTTCTTTTTCGATATACATTGTTTATTAATAGACTAACCAATTTTTTTTTGTATAAAAAAAAAAACCCAGAAAACCATTTAATTACTGTACATCATCAATGTCATTCAATAATATGATAATATTAGATCCTTTACAAACTTGTTGTAACTTCCGTTTTATACATCCTCAGTCATGTCATGTAAAATACATTTGAAAGTTGATAAAGCTATTCAATGACATTGTTAGATTTGAGTAAAATGTTCAGAGAATGTAGTTCGTCTTGCATTAGTATGATTTTCCTTAATGAAAGTGTCCACCATACTCAAACAGTTATTTTTGATCATCAAGTTTTCCCAGTAACTAGTCCAAACTAAGAAATTTTGAACGTGACTAGAATTCACTCTCCTCTTGGTCGAATATCCATTTTAATTACAAAAGCGTTTTCCTAACTTAATTAGTTATTAAAAACTGTGTCGCAGATCAAGTTTTGTCAACATTCGTGATGGAATGAAGCACACTTTCAAGAACTGCAAGCAGTTTTTGCAAAGCTAAGTTTATGTGTTCGAATCTCTTTTCGTGCAAAACTGATTTTGTGTTTTTCGATAGTTTTAGTTTAGAATACTATAATGGAATATTTTTCCACTTGTATTCCGACAGAATAAAGCTTATATCAACTACAAGTATTCTTATTAGATGCAAATTTTTTTTCTTTGTTCATGCATCAAAAACGATCTGAGACGTCCCCCATTGGACGCACATCATTAGACTTTTTTCTTCATGGTAATGCCTATAAAATATTCAGTTAAAAAAATTCATCATAGGAAACAAACACTTAAATGAGAGTCTTGCACTGTAAAAAACACAGTGTGTCAAAGAGTATAAATGGCATAGTCGTTCATTTTATATTAAAAAAAATATTGTTTCCCTAGATGGTTAATATCAGTGTGTAAAAGTTTTAAATACATTTAAAAGACTTTATGATTGGGTTTTTCAGCAGAACAAGGGTAGAAAATGAAAAACTAGTTTGATGATTATGATCACCATGTTTGAAAATACATAAACAGCCATTTTCAGTTGTTTCATGTGTTTCGAAGAACGAATCTATGGTGTCAACACGTCTCCAGCTCAAAATTATTCGACAATTAGGGTATATCCTAAGTCTAAGTGTGTAAATCACACAATGATTAGCAAAACTCACCAAATGATACCAACTTGACGTTAACTTCTGGTTTACCCGTAATATTCTACTTTTCCAGCGAAAAAGCGCCTAACTTTGTGGATACCACCACAGTGATCACTCCTACCAAAAAGAGAGACTTCCAGAAACTTTCAGATTCTCAGAAAAATTTCGGAATACAAGCGGAAAAATATTCCATTATAGTATTCTAAACTAAAACTATCGAAAAACACAAAATCAGTTTTGCACGAAAAGAGATTCGAACACATAAACTTAGCTTTGCAAAAACTGCTTGCAGT